TGCTTCTCCCTCCCCCACTCCCCCTGCTTGTGTTCCTTCTCTCGCTATGTCTCTCTCTGTCAAATAAATAAATAAAATCTTAAAAAAAAAAAAGTGACAATACCAAGTGTTGGTGAGTATGTGGAGTAACTGGAACTCTCACATACTGCTAGTGCGAATGCAAAAATTGTATAGCACTCCTTTTGAAAACAGTTTACTTATATCTTATAAAGTTAAACATACATTTGCCAAATGACCCAGCCATTCATTCATATGTATTTATTCAAGGAAAATGAGGATATATATCTATTAAAAAACTGTACACAAATGTTTATATTGGTTTTATTAATATTCACCCCAAACTGGAAACAACCCAAATATCAATGTAAGGATGTAAAAACAGATTGTGGTACATTCATACAATGGAATGCGACTCAGAAATAAAAACAAATAAACTATTGACACATACAACAATGTGGGTGAATCTCAAATACATTATATTAAGTCAAAAGGCTATGTACTACTATATGATTCCATTTATAGGAGTTCCTGGAAAAGGCAAAAGTGTTGGGACAGCTAACAGATCAAGTGTTTGCCAGGGCTGGGTGCTGGGGGAGGAGTGATTACAAAGTGGTATGAGGGAATTTTTGTCAATGATGGAAAAGTTCTACATCTTGATTGTCATGATGGCTACATCACTGTATACATTTGCCAAAATTCATAGAACTGTCCACCCAAAAAGGGTGAATTTGGGTGAAAATTATACTTTGGTAACTTTAAAACAAAGCAAAGCAAACAAAAAGAACTAAACTTACACAAAGTGTGAAAACTGTAGACTATCAAAACAAAGAAAAAAAAAATTCTAAAAACAGCCAGAAAGAAAAAGCAGTTTCTCTACAAAGGCACTAAATTAGACCGATAGAAGCCTTAGACTTCTCATTAGCAAAAACTGTACTCCTTTAAAGTACTGAGAGACAGTAACTCTCAACTAGTTATTTAAGGGTAAGGGCAAAATACAGACCTCTACCTCTGAAACAA